ACAAATAAAATGTAACTGTACAAATGAATAATATATAGAATTTATTACAACAAAATGTACCATAATACCCTAGTGTTCAACTACTTCCGTTGATTACTACTGAACAGCGGTTACATGTGCAAATTTTCAATTATCGAGGAAAAGCTTCAATAATGAATATCAAAAGAGAAACAAAGTTTGTTTTGTAATTACTTAACCAAATTTGGAACTTCATAAAATTCTAATAAGATACATTGCCTACTATAATGGTCTCTATTAATCTGCTAGTGAGACTCTTTCATAACTGAATTATTTAATGAATTCTCTTAGTTTAATTTTGTTTGCTCAAAGTTTCTAGTGTGTATCTGAACTCTCATTAAGGCGTTTTTTCTAGTTGAAAATGTTAATTTTTCACACTTCTTTAATTGAAATAAAAATTCACCTTTTCGTCCTAGTTAGTGTGCCTTTAGAAATGTTTTGAACGCATTAATGTGCCTGTCATGAATAGTGTTCCCGTAGTTAATGTGTTGTCTAAACATTCAATTCCCCAAGAATCTTCTTCCTCTAAAATAGGCGTCTTTATGCGATCTTAATACGATATTTTTATTACAAAACTTATTTAAGTACACCGATAGGAACAGGTTCATGAACAGGAACCATTGCCATAAAATCCGCTACATTTATCACCGACGTCTTTTCAGAATCTGAGCAGTGAACCAAGTGTATAACCCGTCTCCTCCTCGATCTTATTCACTCGTTTAATTCAAGTTCGCGCGACACACGTCGCCACGTTTCGCTGGACCCCGAGCTACAATTCCTTTTTCCATTCTGGCTAAGTGCCCCGTGAGAAATCCTGCCCGTGTTCCAGCACAAAGTTGCAAACCCATCGCGGCAGGCCGAAAGAACCGGGTGCGCCGAGAAGGGATCTCGGCGAGAGTTCTCCGGTTACCCAGGTAGCGAAGGAAGCCGTCCGCCATCCGGGGATGTAAATCCGGGGCTACCGTTTCTCGTCCCTGAAGATCGCACGATCTACGCCCGCGGTGTAATAAAGCCTCCGGGGCCCCGCGATGCACGGGGGATCGAGCCAAAGGCGGTAGCGAGGATCTATCCGCCAGGCAGAAATGAGGGTCGAGGACAAAGAGAAGGACGCCCCTTGGAACGTGTCCGCAGAGTGGCTCTCCCTGGCACGACCGAAAACGTCCGGGAATTCCAGAAACGTACATACTTTGAATCTCCGGAGAAGAGAGGAACACAGAAGAGGAAACGGGCTACGAGGCGAGAATCTTGCGACCGAGGAGGAACAAGAGAACAGAGGGGCAAATGAATAAACAGAGACGGGGAAAGAAGAAGAGAGAGAGAGAGAGAAAAAAAGAAAAATCGTCCGACGGAGGATTTATCGAGGAGACACCTGAGTCCTCCCGGAATCCCGTAGCCGTTAAAAAGATCGGCTATCCCCTGTCGCATTTCGGATAGGGGCCATTGGCTGGTGGCCTGGTGGTCGCGAATTTTATGCAGATACCGTGGGATCTCTGTAAATATCGCGTAGCGGAAGGGGCAGAGCAACGACGGATGGTCGCTTGTTGGTCAAGGTCAGGCCATGGGTTGCCGGGGGGACCCGAGGATCGGAAGTTCACCGCCCAGCCTAATGGCAATTAAATATCCCCGGTCGCTAATTGGCAATTATAGGCCACGGGTGTCGGGTGGGGTGTTGCTATTTTTCTCTCTTTTGCCCACTCGACCAGCTACCACCGTGCTTCCTTCCTTTCGTTCACGGCTGGACCACGTCCTCTTCACGAGGAGAGAAACGGAGGGAGAGAGAAAAAAAAAGACGACAAAGTCCAACCACAGGTAGGTACAACAAGAGGGATTCCCTCTTTCTCTCTCAGTCTCGCGAGATCTGGTGCTTATATACCTGGACTGCTCCCCTGTAGCCCAGGGGGCAGAGGTGGTCGAAAGAGGCCCCGTTCGAGATGGTCCAGGAGGGAGAGTAGTTCGGACTGGGACGCGAGATGCCCGCAGCACGTTGTACGCGTCCAGCCGGCCACGAGGCCCCGAAAAGGTACCCGGCGGGGCCAGTGGGGAGAGGGGAGGGGACCTGAGGTGACGACAGCGAAAACTAGTTTATTTGGGACGCGGCTATAAATTAGGATCAGATCGCCACGCGATAAGAGCCACGGCTAACACCCGGTTCCCTTCGAAAGGACGCCTTCTCTTCGCTGTGTGTGCTCTCTTCTCTCTCAACATCTTTCAGCTGGCAACCTTACGGAACCGAGACAACGAGGATCAGGGGAAGTCCATCCTCGTTGCACCACACTGACCGCAGACTCGTTCGGTGGTTCGTCTCTCTATTCGGGGTGAAGAAGTCGGGAGACAGTTCGGATGGGCTCGTATGAAACGGCTGATGTGACGCTAATTAACGTAGTTTGGAGAGGCTAGGCTTATGAACGCGTGGAATATGGATGACGGTCGGTCTGACCAGGGGATTTTTCGAGAGTTCCCTGTGTGTGGACGAAAGACTTGGTGTTAGGTTGAATGGGTGCTAGTCGATGGTTTGCTCTCTGCCTATTTCCTGTTAGGTCGCAACTGACTTTTTATTACAGGCATGCCCTTTATTCCGTTAAGGTCAAGATACCCACGACAATGATTTCTATTATCCTGTGTGTCCATGAAGCTTCGATATAAAATCCCAAGGTCCACAGCGGTCAAAGTTTACACGACGACGGAATGCTCGTTTCCGTCACCCGTCGAGATATCGGGAATATCTTAATTGATCGCTATTTTCAGCAGATATTCATGAAGCCGGGCCAGCTTCGTGAAGTAATCCTCGGCCTTCCCCGTGTTACCGTGGCGGAGTTATTAATGTTAATGGACAACCTGAAATTGTCATCGCGTAATGGTAATCAAACGATCTCGTCCGTTCGAAGATTCGGATCTATAACGGCGTGTGTCTTTTCGAGACACAGAGAGAAGGAAAGAGAGACACAGACAGGAAAAAAAACTGGTCCCCGGCTTGTTTACACCGTCGCGGAATCAGATAGCCTTGGATGCGCGCGACGAAAGGAGCGATGAGAAGAGAGAGAAAAAAAAAAGGAATCGGAGTAGAAAAATCCTAGAGATGAATCTGGCGAATCGTTTGTAAGGAAACCGAGGGAACAACCGTTTCAAGATTTCCCCACCTCCGACCTTTCTCTGTCACCGTAGCCGTGAATGGAATGAAGTCCCGACGTCCTGGAGACGATTTAACGATCGCTCGACTGCCACGGATAACCACTTTTCTATCTTCCCGCCGGGTTTTCTCTTTATTCGAGCGTTCCCCGCGCAACGGAACGTTCGGAATCGATATCCTCCGTCGGAATGGCTGTAACACGAATTTCCTGTGTCAGGTGCACGTGCACCAATCGTGAGATTTCCAACGAAATTGGAAAGCTCGAATTAATCTCGATTTTTCGTAGTTACTGATCATGCGTCCGATCTGATGTGGAAGCAATCGAGAAATTGACCGTTCTTACTAGATTTTAGAACATAAAATCCAAATAATTTCGAAGGACATTTCAGTGCTTTACGATTTCTATCAGAGGACATCATTCGTACGAGAGAAAGTCTCGAGAAGGTCTCATGGAATTCGTAGGTGGGACAAGTGACCCTGAGCCACCGATATACTATGCAACTACACAATAGTACAACTCCCCTACCACTATCCATCCTAACCCAATCGAAAAAGAAGCAAAATTCTAAAACTATCTGAACCGATATATGTACACAAGTTCTCTACTATCCATCTTAACCCAATCCAAAAAAAAACGAAAAAATCCTAAAACTCCTTCTACCATTCAAATTCGAAAACCGTTTACTCAATCTAACCGCGAACGATTGAAATAAAATCGAACCCAACAGCTAACGGGGGAGTACGGAGCGCACACGAAACTTTTCCGAAGCCAACACGGAAAGGTCAGAAACCAGTCCCCCAATGAGGCCCCCAAGCCGCTTATCACAGTCGTGGTCTCGAAGCGCGCGTTATTTTGCCGTCAATTCGAACCCGGTGTGTCTCGAGACCGTGGTGTCCCATTTGTGAGAGAGTACGCAAGTGGACCGGGCCGTGCGTTCAGTCAGCAACGGCGACAGGTTCAGGTGTGTCCGAGCGCGGTGTTCCGTGGCGCGCACACACATACACATACAGGTATACACATACGTGTGTCCAGCAGAACGCGGCTGTGAGTGGAGTGTAAGAGAAAGACGCGGTCAGCCAGCGGTGATTCCATTCACTGATTGAAATCTCCGTCCATTTGTCACTGTCAAGAAGGTGGCGATAGCCTCTCTTCTCTACCATTCTTTCTCTCTCTCTCTCTCTCTCTCTCTCTCTCTCTCTCTCTCTCTTTCTTTCTTTCTCCATCCCCAGCCAGCGTCAGCCTCTCACTCTCTCTTCCTCGCTCCCATTCAGTGGACTGCCTACACGCTGCTCCTATACTCGATGCCATTATTATTTCGACGCGAAGTCTCCCGTCCCTAACGACCAATCGACGCGGCGGAAATTAATTTCTTATCGATTTTCCTCGAGCAGGGAACACTGATCGAGCGACTAGCCGCGAGTCCATTTAGAACACGCGCCATTTTACCGATTTAGCGAACCGATACGTATGATCGAAGAACTCCCCCGGATATCCCCACGCCTCGACGCTTCTTTCTCGTCTTGTTTTCGTTTTTTCGAACAAAACCTGCCTTTAAAAGAAATTATCAACGATTAGTCTGTATTGTTGTGGTTACGATTTGTCCAGACACTCTGGAATCCGTTCGATGCTGTGTTTTCTTTTTCTCCAGACGAATGATTCATCCACGATACATCGCCCGACGCGAATCTATGGTTCGCCGTTTGTAACCCCGTCGTGATCAAGATCGGTTCGGGATCAGGTTCTCGGAGTGACAAAAAATTCGGAATTTTGTTTCGATGACGAGGTCGATCGAACCGGGTGTTACACTCACCTCGAGTGGACGCGACGGTGATCCGACGCTGATCCCAGCGGGCCTTACACTGGCGAGACGAACCCGCTACCCATGGACTGAGACCTGGAATCAACGGTTTTCAGTATTATTTTATGCGTCGTATAAATTTCCAGTTTAAATATAACAGATAACTTAATAACTTCGATGTCGTTGCAGAACAGAACTACACATTGACCGTATTCTTCAAAAGATACATCGTATTTGTCTTTAATATCTTAACTGCATCCCCTATATTCGGTACATTTCACGAAATACAGAGAATTCAAAGAAAAAGGGTCTAAGACTTTTGGTGCTTATCACAAAATATAGTGGATTCTCGATAACTTTCCGCGCCCAGGTTTGTAAACGAAGAAATTTCTGGGAAACGAATGCCCCCACCACAAAGATAAACGTCTAAAAATAAAGTAAAAATATATATATATATACAGGGGAATAGGTTCCTGTGGAAACTTATCGAGAGTCTACTCGTACTGCATTCTGTTTCGCCATCAAAAATACCAAGCCGAGTGTTATTCGTCGAGGACATTTCACTCACCCTTTGTAGAACGGTTTGAACGCAGTGGTGGCCTCCGTGGGCGGCAGGCTGGCAGTGGTCTGATGCTGATGCAGGATAGAATTCTGTCCCGCCGGCGAGAAGTCCTTGTGCGGTGAGGCCTGCAGCCTGGAGCTGAACGAGGATGCGCTGCTCGCGGAGCCGGAGCTCGTCGACAGGTAACCGGTGGCTGGATGGCTGGCCCCGTACGGGTTAGGATTACCGTTGGTCGTGGTGTTGCCGTTGCCAGCAGTGCAGTAGCCGGCCGGTGGTGCCTGGATCACTCCATTCGGTGTAGCCACCTTCATGTTGGGCGGTGTCTGGGGTGGAGTGTCCGTACCAACCTCGGGAAACCCCGCCGCCGCCGAGGAGGAGGCGCTCGAGCTCGAGCCGGACGACGAGTTCGGGTTATAGTGGAGTTGTCCACCGGATGAGGACGAGAGGAAACCTCCGAACCTCGCGGCGGCGCTCGAATACGGCGCGGTCGCTGCCGCCGAGGGACTCATCGACGCGGATGAGGGTAACGCGAACGAGCTGAGGTTTCCGCCACCTCCCCCGCTACCGGTGTTACCACCACCGCCGCCCGAACCGAGCCAAGGTTGCTGGGAATGATGGTGATGATGACCCTGATTCGGCAAATGATGCTGCTGCTGACCGTAGTGCTGCTGATGATGAAGATGATGGTACTGTTGATGATGAGGATGGGACGGTGGTGGAGGGGTTTTGCACGCCGCTGTGTCCGCCAGGGACCAGATTTTTGGCTTCGTCGCGGGTATCGGGACACCAGCCGCGCTACAGTCAGACTTTATGACCTCGTCCTTGAGGTGATCCTCGCCGGCGTAACCTTGGTGATGATGATGATGGTGCTGCATCGCGTGATGAAAAGGATGCTCGCCCCGTCGCGGGTCCTCCTCGAGATCCAGGTCGTCGTCGTCGTCCAGATCCTTGTCGTGCTGCAAGTGTTCCGCTTTCACGTGCCTCATTGGCTCTGCGAACAGAACGTCGCGCCGGCAATTTAGTAAATTACCCGAATGCCGGGGGAGTACGACGCTTCGGTGGAATAAAAACCTCGTTGCGGCTACTCGGGAACGACTACCGTCGCAAATAGATCGTAACGAAGGCGAGCTCGATGGCTCGTGGAAACGCTGTTTCCCCTTCGAAATGTGGATAAAGCCTAAATGGGTGCGAGCGTACTGCACGGAACTAATAGAAAATTCAGCACAGACAAGCCAGCGTATATTGCATTACAGACTCGCGCCGCCCCTCCTCCCTAAACCCCTTGCTATTTGCCCCGGACGCGATGTCAGAATTAATGGTTTATAATCCCTGGTGTGAAAGTGAGATCCGCCGCGCGAGTCAGTGTATCGGAGCTACGAGGGATCGACGCCGAGGGGAAAACGGTAGGAAAGAGTCGTCTCCCTCCCTCCATCGCGCCCTTACACAGTTAAGCTGTAAGGGATGCTGTGAAAAAAAAAGGGAGCGGAGCCTTCAACCACTTTGAGGCGCGAGAGATTTTAGCTCCCCCTCGAGGCAGAGAGAACCGGACCGGGGTAGAATAGGGAGACTGGCTGTATCCATTTTCCCTTTCCTTCCAACGAACCCCCTTTCGTCTCTGTCTCTCTCTTTCTCGATTCTCTCGGGGCACTCTAGGATCGTCCCAAGCGTCTGCCAGCTAGCCAGCCAAGCCAGGCCATCGAGCCGAGCCAGCCAGTCAGTCAGGGGTGAGAATTTCATTAAGAGGTTCGAATGAGTCGGCAGAGGGTTTACTTGATGGGTCGTCAAGCGATAATTCCCAAGCTAGAAGGGGCAGCCCTCTCTAACCCCCGCTTCGGGAAAGAGAGAAACGATGTTGGATGGACGGCCGACGGCAGAGAGAGAGAAAGATACAGGGAACAGAGAGAGTTTAGGTTTAGGGTGCGCGCACAACCCCCTTATAAAGGGAACCTTATGGGCCAACTAAATAGATACCCCGCCGTCGAGTCCACAAGTGGCTCTTTAACTTTTGACCCCCTTTTATCAGACGTTAATCTCATAATCTTTCCGCCCGGTCTCTGTGTATCTCCGCGGTGGACGCGAATTGCGTGGATTATATTTCGGAAATTTCTGAACTAGTCGCGTGTACGATATACCGCGGTATAAGGAGAGAATCCGTATGAATATCTGGGGGATTACAAAAAGCCGCGGTGGCTAGTGTTGACACGTTTGAAAAAGCGAACAGTACCGTCGAGTGTATCCTTACTCCTATGGACGGAGTCCGTAGGCAACCCTCGGCGTGCTCGTGACCATCTGAAGTGATTCCTCCTCCGCTCTTCAGCGGTCAACATGGAAATTCATGAGGGTTAAGGAAGCTCTTGAATTTTGGCAAACCCCCGGGGCAGAACCTGCTGCTTTATTCAGAGCACCGCGGTAGGAGGTATATCTTTTAGCGACTCCTGTGATAAACGGTTTTGAATCGGGCCTCGTGTGGGTGTGAATATAATAATAATAAATATGAAATACTACGAATTGATCTCTCTACTTCGTTTCATTCCCCTTCTTACCTTAAAATAAATTCCTTTCATCGACCCTCTACTGCCAAGGTGGAGTAGCAGAGCTTTACGATCCAAATATGGTACCTCAAGCAAGTCTTATTACCTTTAACACTCGTTATCTAATTTCTCTCATCCACCGTGAATACGAAGAACGACCCGCAAGAATTTCCAAGATTCACTCCCCAATACCATCTCCGGCACGCCGTCAGCTGGACCAGCAAGCCCAGATATTCATACTCGATCACAAATCACCCCCGTCGTCCGTTCGAACACCAGCGACGGAGGAATAGAAAACAAATCGGTTTCCTACGGGATTCGGTGGCCCGTCCCCGGGATTTTCGGAGGGCTTTACTACCGAGGCAGTCCTTTAAAATTACGAGGCATCGCGCCGTGACGTAGCCTCGACACAACACCTATATGTCCCCCGAATCGAAAAGGGGGTGGCGAGGGTGGCGAACCAGAGAATGACAGAGAACGAGAATGAAAGAAGGAAAGAGCTACAGTCGCGTAGCGTGGAGATAGAGGAGCGACCGAGAGGAACGATATTGGCCAATGTGCGGTGGGGTAATGGTGGCCATAGGAGGGTCCGTACCATTCGTCTCGCCGCGGGCGCCGATACATCACCGTGCCTCGAACCACCGGCTCTCTCTCCTCGACTGGCCCGATGTTGTATCTATATACACATCCACGGTGTTGTATATATGTGGTGCCCGTCGCACAGAGTGTATATGGTCCTACGGATGGCTACTCAGCCCCGGGCGCACCCTCTGCTTCTCGCCCACAGAGAGAGACGACTCACGCTTAGGGAGAGCATCGAGCATACATGCGCGCACGATTCAACGTACACACACCCTACGGTGAAAGCGTCGTTTGTACGCTCGCAAGCGTGCAGAGAGGGAGAGAGAGAGAGAGAGAGAGAGAGAGAGAGAGAGAGAGACGCTCGAAACCACGTATGTATGCATGTATATAACATACCAATATACCCATGAACCGGGCCGATCCACCGGGGGACCAAACCGAAGGCCATTAATCTCTTCGCGCGGCAACCCGCAACCCGTCACTGTGTTTACCCACATGTGAACCATTATGTCCGCCTCCGCGATATAGACCCCCGACACACGCAGCCACGGGCATCCCAGCAAGCGAATTTCTAACTCTCGCCCGTTTCCGGACGGTTCGGGCGAAAATGCTTGAATAAGTAGCCTATCGAGCGATGGAAGGGAAAACCGGGGAGGAAGGCAGACGGGGGATTTCAATGGGGAGTGGCGATATTTCGGCGACGAACGGGGAACCGGTGACTTCCGTAATCGAATTTACCGGGGACAAATTTGGAGGATTGTGGGAGGCACACATTTGAACTAGCTAGGACGAGATAACTCGATGGGTGGTGTGAAGTGAGGGGAATGATTGTTGGGATTGGCTGGTTTTAAGTTTGTTAGGGTAAACGGGTATTTCAGCAAGGTTTAATATATATATCTTATTAAAAGAGACGATAGGGATAAACGGGGATAAGTCCCCATTAGTGTGCAAAAGTGTCAGTGCGAAACATATATGTTTGCAGCGGACGAGTCACATAATTTACTTAAGGTAATTTTATGAACCGAATTTCTGAAGCTGCGAATGCTAATATCAAAAAAATCTAAACAAGTACAGTAAGAGTTTGCAGTATCACGTATGTGGTATATAGGGCTTGAATTAGCAACTGATGATATATAACGATCTGAGAGAAATCTCGTGGAGGAAAAAAAATTTATCAAGTTTCGATTTATTCATACTGAAATGACATGTTGAAAACGTGAATGTAGAATTGAGTTTTTTTGTTACATCTTCAATTGGATGAAGGTTTTGCACAGCTTTGATCGAGGCAACGATTGTCAGTGGTCGTGTACGAAGCCAATATGCCGTGTTGGTTCCAAGTTAAACATTTCAGCACCCATCAACGGACTTTAAATCGTCTGCGGCGGACTGTAATGGTTGGAACAGCAAAGGGGAGGCCGTTCGCGAGAGGATAGTCACGAGGGCAAGGAATTTCGAGAATGAAGAAAAATTGACGATGTTTTGATAGTCTGGGATTATTTTGCTTCGCCGTCGACGAGGGATTTGTAGTGAGCACTAGTCTAGAGCTGAATGACTCACGTGGCTATAAAAGGTCCTTCAATCGAGATAGAAATAGATAACCCCCAAAGAAACAGTTATTTCTTCTCTAAACATACCTCTTCATCCACGTTAGGATGAAAAAAAAATCATTCCCAGAGAGAGAACCCTGTTTCAACCCCAAACCACCCCAAATGTTTGTCTTTGAGGATAAAAAAAAATCAATGATGCCTTCCCGAAGAGAAACGTCAAGCCCATAGTGGGTTCAACGCACCGGAATGAAGAGGTATTTGTTGCATATCAAGGAGAGTTGTAAAATCCGATGAACAAGACGAGCGAAACGGTGGAAGAGTGTTTATGCCCCGGTGGGAATCTCGCGACCGGATCTACTCGAGCGACGCGATCCATGCAAGGGTGGAGGGTCGTGTACACACGGTTCGGCTTATTGCGAGCGGAATGGATGCTTGCGCAATATCAGAAACGGCCGGCTGATGGGTATTCGATATCGGGGAAAGTGGTCACGCGAGCCTTATACACGCCACCCGTGGCATTCCGGGACTTGAGGAGAGAGATCGGTATGTTTTCGCGGGCGAGTTCACCCTCGTTCGACTACCAACGATTCCCGTCCACAGTGGGCATTGCACCGCGCAACAACTTCCATCGAAACATCGGTAATTGGACCTCTAATGGCGTTCCTTCAACGTTCGAGGAAGGTTATTTCAAGTATTTCCCGCTAGAGGAAGATGCATGGACGACACGTGAGCGAATCGGTAAGCGCATTGTTTCTGCTTAAGTGCTACACACACATGCAGACGCGCGTGTTTTGCTTATTGACTAAACTTCGGGTAGGCACGTGGGTCGAATTGAGACATAGTTCCTGGTTCGAGTCCTCTGTGTGTAAACTGCGCAAAGGGGAGGGGTTAGGAAGCTAGAAGGGGACGGGTAAGCTGCTTGGAATAATTAGGGGATCATTTACTCGAATGACTTTCTTGTTCTGTATGGTAATTAACCCGTTTCAGGTCTGGGGTAATGTCTCCCTGGGATATCAGGAGGCAGTCGTGACGAGATCAGTGAAAATAACGCTGAACGTTCATTATACGTGGCGTATCTTCGGCGGCGATCAAAGGTTCGAAGGTTTCTTCTTCGATTCGATAAAACGTACACTTACCATTTTCCTCGAGACCCCTCCTTGCTTCTTCGCCGACCCTGTCACCCTGATTGTCCCCCGCGAGATCGTCCTTCTCCTTGTTGTCCTCCGAGTCCGTGAGAACCGCGTCGTCGTCGTCGTCGGTCTTGTTCTTCGGCTCCCAGGTCATCTTGTTCTCCTTCTTGAGGCGTCGTCGCGCGTTTGCGAACCAGGTGGAGACTTGCGTCAACGTCATCTTCGTGATGATCGCCAGCATGATCTTCTCGCCCTTCGTCGGGTACGGGTTCTTCTTGTGCTCGTTCAGCCACGCTTTCAAGGTCGCCGTCGACTCCCTCGTCGCGTTCTTCCGCCGCGCGGCTAGGTCGTATCCGGCCCCGTATCTGAAAACGATTTGTTTCGTTTAATAAATGTTTTTGCCACGATATAGAGGTGTTTTAGGTATCTATATGGCCCGTCCCACCTAAATAGTCATCCCCTCCCTTTGTTAATATAATTATTGACTGGACTCGTCGGATGAGGTGTTAGACTCGCAAGTTCCGCAGTCGAAGAAAATTCCTACAGGTTCAGGAACAACAACTGCAAATAAAAATTGACTTTCCGAAGCGAACAGACCCGATTCTTTCCCCGAGTCCCCAGCGACACTGGATTACCACGCGACTAGCCAGATATATCAAACAAAAACCAACAAAGATCCATCATATCGCAATCGCGTTCCGATCGGAGAAAGACACTCGAAGCGCCATTCGAACACAAGGTATACCATCGTTTCGCCGTTCCAACCACGGGAAAAAAACGTAATCATTGTTCAACATTTGTCGAGCCATGGCACTCCACTCGAAAAGTGGTATCCCTGTCGAGGGTGCCGAATTCCCCGCAGATTTCGGCGAGTCCGAAGTGCTCCACACGAGCAGAGAGATCCCCAGGCTTCCTAGATTCGTCTCCCATCCCCTCCTCCTCTCACCCCCGCGTCCTCCTAGCCGGAGCATCGAACCCTCCTGTGTAAGAGCGGGAGGGCGACATCCTACTGGGTCGAGGGTGATACTCCGGCAAATATATACGGAGAATAAACCCCCAGCGGCGGCGTGATTCCATCGAGCAACCCCGGCACTCACTCGCCGTAATGGCGATTCGATCGATCCCCCCTACCTCCTCCTCTCCTTTCCTCGCCACCCCCTCTTTCTCAACCCTTCTCGCTTGCTCGCCCGCCTATTCTTCGTCGACTGTCTCGCTCTGTGCCGCCGTGTCCTCCCCATTGGAGAACCCCACGCTAGGGTGTTATAGGTATGTACTATTATATACCGGAGCCTAAAATACCTATCGACGATCCATCGGGCTGGGGAAGGGTGCCATACACACACATCAGGCGACGGATAGCGGTACCGGTGTTCGAGGCGGTGGTTACCAACGACACTGTACCCCCGGTACTATGCCACAGCGCTCTGAAGGGAATAGGTATATGTACTCGGAATCGAGGCGGTCGCGGGACTGGAATAGCGTCTAATGAAAACGGTGTATCGAGACACGGTTTGCTCGATGGACAGGCCCACTGCGGGAGATCTTGTTGTACGTGATCGGGGGATGTTTAATTTCGGTTTGCCAGTTGTGAAGATTGTTATTGGAATTGGTGCCGGAATCTTTTGGATATTAGCCTCTTCGTATACCCAGTACACATTGGAATGTATAATTTTAAACGTTTGTTTTGAAGCTATTTTACGGTTTTTCTTTTTTAACCCATTTGTATATTGTTATATTTTCTTTAAAAAAAACACGCAAAAGAGCTTCAGAACAGACTGTACATTGCAACTTTTTGTTCTAGGGAAGAGAATCCTTTTTTTTTTGAGAAATATAATTTTTCTACGCGATTTCAGACCGATATACTTGGTTCGTTTTTATTTTAACAACACGTAAGAACTGAAAATTTTACGGTGGTTTTTCAGTTATGACACGCAGTGTATAATCTCTAGGCCAGCACTGTAACAATGTGTGGAAATCAGTAGGTTCAGTCAGAATTTGCATAATACATTATATGTATATCGGAAAGGAAACGTCTTAAAGATGCAGCGAGACTCAATAAACAACACTGAATTCGCTAAAAACGGTATATAATGGTCTCCTAACGACACGAAGATTATTAAAATCGACAATGGCCCGGGGGGATGATGAGGAATCGAACAAAAGGGGACACGTCGCGTTTTATCGTAACCCATAAATTGACGGAGTAACGAATCGTGAGACGAAGATACTCGATATATACATACCGTCGAAAAATTTTATGGTCGGTTCTCGCCGTTTTGAACGGGAATCTATCGTGTTTTACGTCCCAGCCGGACGAGATCATCAAAAAGATCCTTTTTACACGATGCACGAGGAGGAGTTTATTCAAATGGAGACGTTTTCCGCTTCTAAATCGCGGTTTACGATCGCGCAGGGCCTCTATCGGTGTGCCGATTCTCTCTCCGTTCGGCGAGCGCAACAAATGGCCCGATGAAATCTTCTGTCTCGGGCTATAAGTTTAGAGACGTGTGATCTAATCTCGGAGGTTTCACCGTGGCCTGTGGAACCGTGCGGCGGTGTCCCCCCGAAAACATCGTCTGGGCGGTTATGTCGACAATGCCACTCAATTTCGAGCTGGAAATTTCGCCGACCGACCGTTTGTCGTCCATGGAACGTCGTAACTCGTTGTCTCGAACCGTTCCCATTTTATCGGAATGCCAACTTTCGATAAAAAAAGAAGTGTACACGATACGAGTCGCAAAGCCTTCGCCAATAGCGAACACGCGTAAACGAATTAGATTCTGGGAGGAATACGATTCAGAATGCGAATAAATAGAAGGTAAATCGAAGGAAAATCGGACGATTAGGTTCCTGGCGTTCGCATCAGGGGAACAGAGGATTTCGTAATTCCCTCTTTCGGAATCTATTCTCGCCCCCTTCCACTCATCTTCTCGCTTCAACCCTCTCTCTAGACCCGTCGTTACTGCAATCCACATCCAAGATTGCTGATGACCGCGTCGATGGGGATGAAGAAGCCAGCAATCCGAAGGAGGCAGACTCGTGGAAGTTCGAGGACGTTTCACCCTCTATTAAACTCCCTCGGACAGGGGAAAGGCGGCCGCCGAGGCTCTCGTACCCTCCCTCCAATAAAATCAGCGTCTTTTTGCTTGTACCCTTTTCGTCCTCTCTCTCTCTCTCTCTCTCTCTCTCTCTCTCTCTCTCTCTTTTAGCCAGTTTCTTCTTGCCCCTTGCTCCGAATAAACGTTCGATCGATCCCGGATTGTTCGAATCTAATGACGGGTTTAGTCGGTTCCCAGCGAAAAAAGAGTCGGTATCAGCAGGGTTAGGTTGATCAAGCCTGTCTTGAAAGATTGGTGCCTACGGAGGATCGAATTGGGCAGAGGGGAAGTACCATTGAACGCTTCTGCATTGTTCAAGTCAATTAGTAACTTTAACTTTTAATTCTGTTTTTGTGGTTGGGAGTGGACAAGGAATAGCGATTATAGTACCTCGTCGCACAGTAACTAGCGTGTACATTAGACAGTCTTTAAACTGTTAAAATAAATTAAAAAACAAATTTTACTGCATTTAAGTTTCTACGAATCGTTTGTTTCTTCATGCAAAAACTATTTACAATTTAAAATCTAAACACACAGAAACATTCTCAACTTTCGTATTGCCGAAAGCACGCGTGCAGATATGGCCGTATTGAAAGGGCTAATAATACCAAACATACAAAAACAAAGGTAAATTCCACCCCTAATATCTCCGTATAATATAGAAAGCATACGAAGATACTTTTCTCCCTCGCTGTATGTATCAAATTCACACCCTCTCCCCAATAGCACCGCATCTTCGCTTCCCTCTTATTAACCCCCAAGGGGTTGACGGGGTTGGTATCCGTCAAACGAAAACACATCCCAGTGTCCAACGAGCGACGGCATCCTCCGTCAGCGCATGCTCTGCGAAAACTCCATAGCCTCCGCAATATATACGTATCAAAATCACGGGGCGTGTGAAACGTGAGATTGGACTTTCGTCGAAAAAGCAATGGGTCAATATAAAGTTGTAAGGTCCCCGTTTCGTAGCCCGAAAACAGAACTCGTTCCGCGAACGGGCTCGGGGAAGTTAGAAATTGACAATCGGTCGGTGCCTCTAGATTTAATCGGCGCGCCTATCCCCCCTCCCCCCCCCCCCCCCTTCCTTCATTGATATGCGCAATTTCGACAGCCACCCACACGCGGGGGCCTCGCGCAATTATCTGCACACACGAGGGCGCGCGCGCGAGCACGAGGCGAACGGCCCCCGCGATTTACATACTAAGTGTGCCGTTGCGTGCCGCCGGAGAATCGCTCGCTCTGGGGATGTGTATCGGCGCCGATCGGTCGTTCCGCGTGTACAGAGAGACGCACGAGACGCGGCTCGATGCAATGCAGATGTGGTGGAGGGACGGGGGGTGTACTACGAAAGCTCGCCTTGTATATATGCCATGGAACCGCTTCGACCTCCCACACCCCCCCTTTTCGCCGCGTGAACCGCACGATCTTTCCTCGCCGTTTCATAAAACTCCGCGACACGGTCTTATCGGCCGTTCCGTCGCGATGCATCGGTGACGCGAGTGGTGGATCGCGAAGAATCCCGGCTGCGTGGGTTCCGCGCCGCGAGTGTTCTCATCGATCGTCGAAAATCGAGACCATCGTGTGGCGCGGTCTCTCCGACGATTTCGATCGGAATTTAACGGGGCACTTGTAAATCTCTTACACGATCGATTCAACGATCATTGGCACGCATACGGTGGGTGGAAGGAGTATCTGTCGCGAGAGAATTGAAGTTAGTGTTGACTGCCGCTTAACCGGGCTCTGTAGGAGTGGGACTCTGGCCGGTTAAATGAGAATATGTATGAGTAGGATTCCAATAATTATTCGGTACTAGAAAATTTAGTTTGTATAGAAAATAAAGTTTGCGAGAAGAAAGACTATTTAAAAAATAACGAATGTGACAGAAAGTAAATTTATTCGGAAGATAGTGAACCATCGCGAAATATGTAAACAATTTTCCTTCTAGTCAATTGTTTTCATGTCAAGAAAAATATGGTCGGTTAAAGATAATCGGGAGTCTACTGTGCTTCAAGGGGGGATGGGGACTCGTTAAATGCTCGTGACTGGTCTCGCGAACAGTTAACGAATCTTTAGTGAGCAGGTATAGAAAGTCTGGAGTAAGATTTGTGTGTTTTAGATACACGCCGATGATTAACGATACTTTTTATCGTTCTCGAACACGCGACCGTATGTTTAGCAAGAACATTGTCGAGACAGGTGTCTTGTGTTACAACTATCTAACCCGATAATCGTTGGAAATTGTTTAACACAAAAGTGGAGAACCCACG